CAGTAATTTTCACCAGTCAGGACTCAGTAGCAGTAATGCTAAACAATCGGCACTCATTAGCAGTAATGCTAACCAATCAGCACTCAGTAGCAGCCATGCTAACCAATCAGCACTCAGTAGCAGTAATTCTAACCAGTCAGCACTCATTAGCAGTAATGCCAACCAATCAGCTCTCAGGAGCAGTAATGTTAAACAAAAAGCGCTCATTAGCAGCAATGCTAAACAATCAGCACTCAGCAGCAGTAATGCTAACCAATCAGCACTCAGTAGCATGCGAAACAATCAGTACTCATTAGCAGTAATGCTAAACAATCAGCACTCATAAGCAGCAATGCTAAACAATCAGCACTCAGTAGCAGTATTGCTAACCGATCAGCTCTCAGTAGCAGTAATGCTAAACAATCAGCACTCAGTAGCAGTAATGCTAACCAATCAGTACTCATGAACAGTAATGCTAACCAATCAGCACTCAGTACCAGTAATGCTAACCAGTCAGCACACAGTAGCAGTTAACCAGTCAGCACTCATTAATAGCAATGCTAAACAATCAGCACTCATTAGCAGCAATGCTAAACAATCAGCACTCAGTAGCAGTAATGTTAACCAATCAGCACTCAGCAGCTGTAATGTTAACCAATCAGCACTCAGTAGCAATTAACCAGTTAAAGGTAGCCCTCTTGTGTTTTGCAGTCATGTTTTTGATATAATGGTAAAAACAGGAAGAGGCCAGACTCCTCATAAACTGGCTCTGACTTGACTTTGCTTTCATCTTAAATATTTCTGGCTTAGAATGTTAGAGGTGCTAATGCTACTGTTAATGTTGATTCACTGTTCAAAATCTGTCATAATCCAGCAGAGTTCATCCATGTTGAGCACGCTTACAAGAAACGTTCAAATTTAAAAGAAGAGTTTGGTGAAAAATCTTCTGTAGTCTTACACTGGAGCTATGAAGCTAACGTCTCTAACAAGCAATGGAAGTTTATGTGAACCAGTTAGCCTCAAGTAAACCACACTATGGAAATCTTCAGGCTTTTAGTCAGTCTACTTGAGATTGCTTAACAACTTGACACGGTTTAAAGCGATTGTGTAACAGTTTAGACATGATTAGCGCCATGCTAACTGGTAATGCTTAAAAGCTTCAATACTTGTTAGCTACATTAGCCTCATAGCTCCAGTGCTAAAACGAAAGAAGCCAAACTCCAGACACAAAACATGTCTTGGCTGATGGGCTACATTTTGGGTAAAAGGGGAACCCGAGTAAATTGAACTGTCTGCCGCATGTCACTTCATGTTTAATTTTTTTTTAATCTGAAGATGGTTCTTCAAAGGTTCTTTAGTAAAGGCAGTGTTTCTATTGAGAACTATGAGAACTATTTGCATGCTTAAGTGGTTTTTTGCATGGTGAAATGGTTCTTCAGATTGATGGAGACTGTGTTGTACATGGTTCTATAAAGAACCTGTTTGAAAATGGTTCTATATAGCACCAAAAAGCGTTCTTCTACTGAGACAAGCTTGACATCATAACAATATAAAAACTCTTTTTGGTGCTATACAGAACCACATAAAACATACTTCATGAATCTCAAGAACCATTTCCATTTTTAAGCATGAAATGGTTCTGTATAGAAATAATACCACTGCCTTTACTAAAGAACCCCTGAAGAACCGTCTTTTTTAGTTCATCTTTGCTGACTGGCAAACTGCTAGAGCGCAGAAAATGTCAGTAGGTCACTAACCTACATAGTTTCCCTGAAAGCAGATTAGTGCTGCTGTCTATGACAATAAAAGGCATTGTGCAATAATGTTCAAGGGTGTTTTACTTCTGATATGGTTCTGATTTTAAATGAAGGCCTCCATTTATGTGCACCAGACCTACAGACTTTCAACACCCTACAAATAGCTAAGGCCAAGATCAAAGGTTTTAGCATAACAGAACCAAATGGACAATGGAAATGAACACAGTCCCTCCGAACAGCCTACAAGCAACTGCGCTAAAACTAGCCTCAACTCATCTGCAGCACATTTGTCTTCTTGTTCTATTTTGTTTCTGAAAGATCAGGTACCCTGGAGCGTTTGCCAGAGCGCTACACGATAGTTTGCGCTTGGCGATCCACGCCGTAAAGCGATCCATCATTCGGGTCACGTTTAGCGAAGCACAGTTTACGCAGCAAGCTAGTCGGGTTTCAGTGGGTAAAAGTTCAGTGAAACTTGAGCAGGTGGTCAAGGAAGGAAGGTGCATTGGAGGAACCTAGCTTTGAATTCCAGGTGAAAACACTAGTCTGTACAAGCAGAGCTACAGTGAAGGTATGAGCGTCCTGACTGAAAAAAAAAATGTACACATTTTCAACATTTACATTTTGACAAATAGCCCCAGTGTTATCAATTTGCCAAGACAAATTCTTAGGTGCCTGAAATTTACTTCTTTAATAGAAGTCAATTAGCAAATAGCATTAGCTGATTGCATGCTGAAATCATCACACTTCAAACTGCACTGATGGAAGGCTATTAGCAATTAGCATTAGCTGACTGCATGCCTAAAGCATCACACACTCTAAACTGCACTGATGGCAGGCTATTAGCAATTAGCATTAGCTAACTGCATGCTGAAATCGTCACACACTCCAAACTGCACTGATGGAAGGCTATTAGCAATTAGCATTAGCTAACTGCATGCTGAAATCATCACACACTCTAAACTGCACTGATGGAAGGCTATTAGCAATTAGCATTAGCTGACTGCATGCCTAAAGCATCACACACTCTAAACTGCACTGATGGCAGGCTATTAGCAATTAGCATTAGCTAACTGCATGCTGAAATCGTCACACACTCCAAACTGCACTGATGGAAGGCTATTAGCAATTAGCATTAGCTAACTGCATGACTAAATCATCACACACTCTAAACTGCACTGATGGAAGGCTATTAGCAATTAGCATTAGCTAACTGCATGCTGAAATCGTCACACACTCCAAACTGCACTGATGGAAGGCTATTAGCAATTAGCAATTAGCTAACTGCATGCTGAAATCGTCACACACTCCAAACTGCACTGATGGAAGGCTATTAGCAATTAGCATTAGCTAACTGCATGCTGAAATCGTCACACACTCCAAACTGCACTGATGGAAGGCTATTTGCAATTAGGATTAGCTAACTGCATGCTGAAATCATCAGACACTCCAAACTGCACTGATGGAAGACTATTAGCAATTAGCATTAGCTAACCGCATGACTAAATCATCACACTCCAAACTGCACTGATGGAAGGCTATTAGCAATTAGCATTAGCTAACCGCATGACTAAATCATCACACTCCAAACTGCACTGATGGAAGGCTATTAGCAATTAGCATTAGCTAACTGCATGCTAAAATCATCACATTCAAACTGCACTGATGGAAGGCTATCAGCAATTAGCGTTAGCTAACTGCATGCCTAAATCATCACACACTTCAAACTGCATTGCACTGCATGCAAGTGTACAGTGATTTGTGCATGCAGTTAGCTAATAGATATCTGCCTCTACATGAGCCTCAGACCCCCAGTGCTAAACATGTCTTGGCTGATCGACTACATTTGTGTAAACTTGGCTGTTACCCATAAAAATGGACAAAGGTCAGTCAGACAAAATGAAAAATGTTAGCATTTGGATGCTACTAAATACTGTTTTAGCTATACACTGTTTTTTCATAGGTAACAGTATTTCAGTGTCAGAAACCACATAGGCATCTTTACAGCCCCACACAGTTTGAAGTAAGTGTGTCTTCATTTAGGAATGTAGTTAGCACCGTGCTAACCTGCAGTGCTAATGCTTCTATTACTTGTTAGCCACATTAGCCTCGTAGCTCCAGCGCTAAAACAAACAAAAAAAAAGCTTCAGGTATTAGGTGTCTTGGTTGATTGACAGCACTACACTGTTAGAAATAAAGGTACCATGCAAGTATTTTTCGTTCATCAAGGTACAAACAATGTAAGTGTTCCCTCAAAGGTGGTTTTAAGGTCCAACTGTAAACCTTAAATAAATTGCCAGATGAAAAGTACGTATTTTACCTTTTCATAGTTTTAAAACAGGACAATAAAATAAAAAGCCTGGAGACGAGACGGGGTGTGTGGAGTCAATGCAGCTTAGAATATATCATTTTAATGGATTATTGTACAGTTATGACTAAAGGTACTAACATGTACCCTTGAGGGGACCACCCCAGTGACAGTTTAGTACCTTTATTTCTGAGAGTGTTGGGCTAACTGGGTAAATGTGTCACCACTCTTTCACTTTAAATACAAGCCAACTTTTCGCCATCTGGTAAATCAAAGGGGAGAAACCATTAAAAGTTTCACAGCCTCCTTTGCACACAACTCATCAAAACAGCATTTCAAATGAGACTCAGTGCAGACTCTAGATGAATCAACATTGAAGCCAGGCTTTATTGTTGTCTTCTAAGGCCCTTTAACCTATGTCTGATGAGACATGTTGAGACTAGATCGCATCAGGTTTAGCTGCATAGAGATTATGGTAGTTTCGTTCTGAACACTCATTCCGAAAAATCAGGTTGACCTTCAAATCACTTAGTGAAACCTGGTTTCTGTGGTTTTGCTGGGAAAGATCTGCCCTGATTGTAGGAAGATTCTACACGGTTCTATAAAAAACATTTTTGGAAATGTCAATTCTATACAGCACCAAAAATGGTTCTTCTACTGTTACAAGCTTGACAGCATAACAATAAAAGAACCCACTGTAGTGCTATATATAGAACCACACACACAAGCAATCTGAATAACCATTTAAACATCAGGACAGCACATGCTTATTTATAAAGTCCTTATGACATTCTGACATTGGCGATTAACAGTAACGGTAAATGCCATGACATTTTATGACTGCATATGACATCCATCATATCATGTTTATGTCAAGGTTATGCAGCAGGGTTCAAAGAAGGACTTCATCCTAGAAACTACCTGTTGCAATTAAAACAAGTTAAAACAAACCAAACAGCTTTACTGTAATAACGTTTTTTTATTAAGAAAGTGTTAAATAAATAAAACAATGCAAAAATATGCTTTTCATCAATGCAAGGGAAATTGCCTAAATAGTTACAATTTGTTCTTCAAATGGTAAATAAATAAATTTTACAAACTAAATTGGTCACTCGTGAGAAATTGGGAAGTTACAAAAAGGCTCGGAATTGAAACAGATTAGCACCTTCCAAAACCTTTACCATTACAAACTGAAGACAAACACAAGAACCCAAAAGAAAAGCAATATTCAATGTAAACGAACACACTAATGTACAGTAATGTTATGTTTCTGGCTGCTGTTTACATTTTTATTCATATAAATATAATATATTAATTCTGTGCGTTTCAAACGCGATGGAGAATGAACTCAAACTTATAAACAATGAATGAAAACCATTCATGTTTTTCTACTTTGTGGGTTTCCTTTGTCGAAAAAAAACAAAACACTATCTAGACTAACCAAGAGAATGAACAAGAACAACTACTTAAAAGCATTTATGAAACAAAAATGCACCATCAGATATGTAGGCTATCATCACTTGCAAGTGTTCGTGTAGAGAAGGCCATATTAGAGATTTTACAATCAGAGAGATAGAGATAGAGATAGAGAGAGAGAGAGAGAGATTGGTGGTACAAATGTGCAAATAACATTCAGTTTAGGCCTTAAAACTGGTTCTTTAAAGAAAACGTCCTGCAAAGATTCACTGTCAACAGAACCAGAATGGAAAACAGCAAGGAAGAAGGAAAGAGGCAACACAAGACACAGCATGGAAGAAAGAGAAAGGAAGTAAAAAAAGGAATGAAAAAAGAGGCAGAAAAGGAAAAAAGAACAGAAGACAGAGCAAAAGAAAGAGAAAAAGAGCAAGAGGAAGAAGCAAAGAAGAACAAGATAAATAAGACTATGAATAAATAAGCTGTTGAGGTCAGCGCACCAGGAGAAAGGTCAGTCCAGCTAACCCAACCCCCGCGGCAGCGAACAGCGCCGTCTTCATGGAGGAGTCCTGGCTAACGTGTCCAGCTCTGCGGACGAACTTGCAGAACCCCTCCTGCACATGGAAAACAACAGAAAGGCATTTAACACTCACCAGTTCAGAATAACTAAAAAACACCCACAACACACAAGAAGCCTCAACTGGGCTTTTCCCATTTAAACCTCAGGATGCAGTTATTACAAGTTATAATAAAACATCTTGCAATTTTATGTGAATTATTTCTCATAGTTCACTGAAACCAGAGGAGAAAGTGTGTGGCAAGTGCGGATCCTACAATTTCAATCTATACCACATTGGTGTTTGGGTTTGTAAGTAGACGAGGAGACATTTTTGCAATGTTTTTGTCACTTTTTGACAGTAGCTGTGTTCTAAAGTCTAGGCCGCATTTCTTCGGTTCCAAAGAGAAAGATCCTGCAGCCTACGTTCTGAGTGATTTCGAGGATGCAACAGATGTATCCGTCCAGGCCTTTGGTTACCCACAGTTCTCTACGCACAAACGACGTGACCCCCTTCAGCTCCACAAAAATGACGAAAGACAAATCCAGTGGAGCAGAGCTGGTCTGAAAACGCAAGACGAAACTAACAATGTTTATATACTTCAAAATGATTTTAAAAAATGCATGGAAAATTCAGCTTTTCGTGATAAGGGCCCATTTAACAGCATAAGCAAAAAATGAAATGTTATTCATCTATTTCACCAAATACTGGAACATGAACTTCCTCGAACTGTTTCAGAAGAAGCCTGAAGTCATCATGTTTTCTTTCCAAGACTGATATGATAAGGTTTTTCCACAAAATGAATAGCAAAATATGGGCTTAATAAACACGTTTAGGCCTTATTTTCAAACGAAAAAAAGAGGGTGAACTGTTTTTGAAGCAGCAAGCTGAGCAGCTGCTGAAAGTCTGCAAAAAGCCACCTGCTGTACTGGTCAGAAAAGTCCAGGTGGTGGATATTTGAGTTTTTCATGTTTCTTTCTAAAGTCTATGAGGCGTGGAGATCAATAGTTAACAACAGGCTGAAAGGCTGTGGTGTCACAGTTAGATGCCAGCTGTGGGTTTGTGTGCATGTATTTACGTGAAAAAAAAAAAAACAGAAACAGAAAGAGAGAAAGATAGAATGATCTGCAGGAAGTGTACAGCGACTGCAGCTGACGATGACTGACGACCGCATCAGTCATCATCTCATCTTTCCTTTTTATTCCGATTACCAGGAAGATGTCAATATCAGTGATGCAACTTGGAAAGAGATGGAAGGTGCCTTCGATATAAAAATGAACTGAAACAAAAACATTATTATTGCTACAATAACAGAAACGCATATATTGTAAATACATTGTATTTACCTCTAACGAAAAAAAAAAAATCTATTTAAAACTTGACATAAATGAGAACACTGCTGCTGTGGTGACCTTCCCATCAAACGTAATGAAACGTGCAGTTGGTCAGTGTCTACAAGTACTGATGATATATATACAATATGTTCAGAAAAGCATATTGTATTGTACTGTGACAATTTATCACAATGCAAATTTCAGTTGTGGCCGAACTGTCATTTTGATGCAGGATTAATTTACTAATTCCGGTACTGGACAGTAAAGTTACTTGATCTTGGTGTTTGGAAAGTTTTTGAAAGTTATTTTGGTCCAAAAACGAGAGCACACAAATATTATAATCGATTACTCCAATATTCCAAAATTGAAATCACCACCACGAACATTAGTGTGTGTTCACAGCTCTTGTACTAGTGCTGAACTGAACAGAATTTTTCACTGTTAAGCACCTTTGACAGGTATGACCGAGCTAGCCAAGTCTGCAGGTAGAAATAAGAAGTTCATTCCAAATGTCACGGGGAAGAGGAAAACGCCATAAAGCGGTTAAACACAGAAATACGATGGCTGAGAGGAAGTGGTCGGAGGGACGCCATTTCAGGTCTAACGTCACTTACCGACTTTCCACAATAACCTGCAGTAACACTGAGTCAGTAGTCAGTGACTGTACAGGTTAAAAAAAAAAAAAATTGTGACCAAATAAGGACAAGAGCAGAGTTAATGGAGTGTGATGGAGGGGCTCATTCCAGATTCATGAGTGGGAAGAAGTGCTTCAAAACTGAAAGCAAATAGAGCAAAGAAAGAAAAATAAAGAAAGAAACATGAAAGACAGACTGAAAGATGGAGAGATATATAAAAGGAAAAAAAAAGAAATGGGAGAATACTAAGAGGTACAGAAATTACTTAAAAAGAGAAAAAAGAAAGAAGTGTCAGAGAGAAAGAGAGGCATGAAGAAAGAAATGGAGAAAAGAGTGAAAGACAAACAGAAAAAAAGGAAGACAGAGTCAAAAAAAAGTTGAACAGAGAGAAAGAGAGAGAAACTGGAAAGATACGGAGAAAAATAGGAAAAAGAATAAAGAAAGAAAGGAAAGAAGAAAAGGAAGGAAAGGAAGAAAATAAGCCAGATAAAAAGGATAAAGGACGAGAGATATAGAAATGATTTAGAGAGAGGAAAAAAAGTAGTGTCAAAGAAAAGGAGAGGCATGAAGTTAGAAATGAGTGAAATAAAGACAAATAAAGGAAAAAAAAAGAAGAAAGACAGAAAGAAAAGGAGGACAGAAAGACAGAGAGAAATTGGAAAAAAGGAGAAAAATAGGAAAAAAGTAAAGAAAGACAGATAGACAAGAAAAAGAAAGAGACATTAAGCTTTTCCAGCAGAATGAACCTCCCCCTGTATAAAGTGCAGCTCTGGCGGCTCCCACGCACATTCCTGGAATCGTTTGGCTTCAGTCACTCTCTAATTGCCATAAACAAAGCAGCCGCAGGAAGGTGCAGCATCTGCCCTAAAACCTCCACACACAGCAGAGAAAGAACGACGGAGATCCAGAGTTGAGGTGCTGAGTCTTAAAGGTTCAGGGAGAAAAACTGTGCAAATTTGAATATTTGGTTTAGAGCCTTTATTGAAGGAGTGTTAATGTATAAATCCTACTGTTTTGTTATTGGTCTTGTTTTGTTATTTTAAGAAAAGTGAAAAGGTTCTGAAAAGTCCCTTCAGGGCAGAAATGATCCATCACCTGATCCTCACGCACACACACACACATATGTCACTGGACCGTCCCTGTGCTGTCTGATTAAAATGCGCTGATAAAAGCAGTGGAAAATCCCAAAGATTAAAGCTAACTGCCATCACCTAACCCCCCCAGGGAAATTTATATCACTCAGTTTTTTTTCTGTTCTTTGTTTGCTTTACTGACTTCAGCGTCACATTCTAAACTCTCCACTTCTCTGTTCAAGTGCAGTGAAACTGTTCACACTTCCCACTCTAAAGGGCAATTTAGAGATCACTCACAAAATAAAGGGCAGTTCACAAGGGTGTGTACAAAATTTCCATGTGTATGAATATCTATCTGTAGTCTAGCGCAGCTTATTAAGCCTGTTTAGTTCATTATATCGAGATACTGGTGACATTGTTAGTAGAAAAAGTACAAAAAGTAAAAGTGTAACAGAAAATATACATTTTTTTCTTTCACTCTTTGTAATGACAAACAAATGCATGCTTTGATATCTGCATTTGCATATGATACTGGTAAAAACATAGAACAGTGGGGCTTTCACAAGATACTTCCCCCACAAAAAAAATATCCTTCAACAGAAATTATGTTCGAGACCCCTTTTGAAACTGCAACTGCAATACGGCATGCAGTAAAACATCACACTGCCAACGTATAACGCCCCTGTATTATGAATCACACGCCAGAAGTCAATAATATATTTTGTATAGTATGTACCCAACAATAGGTCTACATCATTTATCTTTTCCTAAGTAAATCGCAGGCTAAAGCTGTTTTTTTTTTTTCATTAAAACCTTTGTAATAATAAATTACACAAAAAACACTTTCGTTCAAACAGCCAATATGACATTATTGTGGTCAGTTCAGCTTCTGCAGCGCCCCCTTTGGTTCAACTCTGATATAGGCACGCATGACGTTCATCAGTGATAGAGTCACAACATGCATTTCATCTGCATTACTGTAATCAGGTTAACAGGCTACGTTTGGGTTACACTGAAGTTAAGATGACCCAAAGAGTTGTATGTTTGCTTTTTTTGGCACAGTACCATAATGTGTATATATATATATAAAAAAAATTTATATAAAGCACTTGGGTCAAACTAATGCAGGGTAACTGACCAATTTATTGATTGTTCAGTGCCTATTTTGTACAGTGGAACTGCAGTGTGTAGCACATATAATCGCATTATTAGAACTTGTTAACTGCTTACCCAGCCCTCATTTTCCTCCAGCCAGTCTTTCTTCTCTCCTCCCAGGTAATCTGCTATCGTCTCTGCTAGCGTCCTACAGACCTCTGGCCCCTCTCCTCTAGAGAACAGTTCGGTGGCCAGAACGCCCGTAAACGTAAAGAGGGACACGACTCTGCCCCAGTTCAGCTGTCCGTCCTCCACCAGCACGGTCATGACGCTGTGTAAATACGCACTGGGGTCCGAGCCGCAAGCCGACAGGAAGCTTTGCGTCAGCGAGTGAAATTTCGAGTGGTGCTGCCGCTCCATCTCCTTGGCCAAATGCCGCATGGCCTCGGCCGACTCGCTGGGAGGTGTCCGCTGGATCCCGGTGCAGAAGTCAATGTAGTCCTCCGCCAGCACCAGAGTCTCCTTCCTTAACCAACAGGACATTTTCTACAAAAGCAAAAGGCCAAAGACATGAAGACACTTCCATTTAAAGCAGCTCAGTTGCTAACCAGCATAAGTTACTTCAGCTAGCTCACAGCTAATACGACAACAAAAGCCATAATCTTAAATGTATTTTGTTTTATACACACAGAACACCAGCGTCTCTTTCCTTAATCTATAGAAAGTATAAAGAAAAAATAACACTGCTGCTTAATATGATCAATTATATATTGTATAATAAAAGTTTCAGAATAATAATCGAGATTAATAATATTCCAGGAAGTTGCAAAAGTCAGTTCAGTCATAGTTTGCAGCAGGCTTGAGGTTGTGACTGATATTATCGACTACCAAGTTCTGATATTAAGCATATTATAATTCTTTCCTTGTTTTTTTATTGCTTTGGCTTTATTTAACTAGTCCTTATGTTCAACCTTTCTAATCCATGGTTAGTTAAAAAATGTACACAACAGAAAAGACTGCACTATTATAGGCTATATAAACAGAACATTAACTATTTAACTGCACATTAACTACACAAAAATTATTATTTTGCAGACTATAATCATTTGCCTAAATTTATATTATCACCTGAGCTTAGTTTGGAGCCAATAAACCTGACAAACTCCTTTCCTTAACTAAGATTTTATGTACAAACACAAGCAAAAATAAAAATGAACTCTGGCAATAGCTGCTTAAAGCAGGCCTGGTGTAATTTCATCTTTTGTCCAGCAGCTTAAGCTAACTCACATTAAGCTAATTCACAGCTACTAAGCCTGAAGCATTTTGGAAAAGTTCTGTCAGGATTATCCATACAATGAAAACCCCCAGTAACAAGACAACTAGTGTTAGCCTAAGCTATAGAACATAATGCATAGCATAAATAAAGAAAAAGCATTAATCATGATCTTTGTCTGTGCAGCAAACCATCCACTGTTAACGTCCATGTTTTGGCTGTCTGGGTGATGTCATGGCCTGGCTATGACTAACCCTGACTGCTGGGCCATACATTACTTCCATTCACTGTATTCTTCTCTGTTGCTAAAAAGAACTTATTTTAAATACTGCTGGACTGGTATCTAAGGCATCAGACAATTCTGACCTCTCTTATAACTTCAGTTGTGTAAACATTAATTTTCTAGCACATCAATGGCAGGGACTATCACTTATACTGACTACTATAGCAGGAAGCCAACCCTCCATCTGCAGAGTTACCAGCTTTAAATACATGACAAAGAATGATCTCTAAAATAGTCCATTCATAGGTTTCAACTTTAAATTGTACTAAAACCAGGTTTCTACAGCCTTCTTAATGCTGGTGGAAGCACAGAAATATATAGTCTATTCCACATAGACATTTGTGATACTGCTTTTCAGTTATCACTGTTTTTAGCAACATATTTGATAAGTAATTGGCATTGTATGGTTTAATGATGTAATGCATATAAAAGTGCAGCATTTCTGTTGCCAAGTGGTTTGTTTTCAGCTTTTTCGTTCCATTTTGTGCATTTTACTCATTACAGTTAATGTACATGATTTGCAGAGTGCTTCAGGTTGTTTTGTAAAAGGGGTTTAAACTCAAAAATGAATGCTTCCTGCAAATCTGGTCTGCTTTTCTGATATTAAGTTTGCTGTAGTATGTAACCCCTGTTAATGTACCATTCACTCCAAGTACATATATGAGCCACATCCAGTTTTGAATTTATCACTTTTGTGATGTCACATTTCTATATAGCTGCATATATAGACATCATAATTAAACCCCAGGAGGGCAGAAAAACACAAAGAGCATGAAAACTGGAAAATATGAGCCCTCTACTACTCACAATACTAGTTAAGATTCTGTTTGGTTTAAAGAAAGCACTCTATTAGAAACATGCTAAATCAAGTTTATAGGATCATGATGTTTTAAGAAGTTTTCACTATACACAATATGGCATGATATTTTTTATGGAAAGTAAATCCACATTTTGAAATACTAAAGCCAGTTAAACAGGACTAATTATGCTCTTTGTAGTCAAACATGCAGTTGGGAAGTGTTTTTAGGTACTGATGATATCCAGTGTGTTCAGAAAAGCAAACTATTGTCACTATAATCACAATTATATTAAATATAACATGACCTCGTGACCCATCTGAAAAATATCGCGATGTTTGATCGCATCAGTACCACCTGTCCCCATTCACAGATGCAAGTTATAAACAGTAATGGTTACAGACTGCACTGAAACTTCCAGAAGAGCAGGCAGGCAGGAAAAAATAATGTTTGCAAGCTTGAATGAATCTGAAGCACAAACCGAGAAGAAGGAAAAAGTCCTGATGGGAAACAAAGCGCTCTCTGTTTTTAAAGATATTCAAGAGGCTTCCAGTAACAGACCCTTATATTTGACTGTGTGGGTGTGAAAGCCAGCTAATCTCCTCGTTGTACAAATGGAAAATGCTAGTAATCTGAGAATACCCTCAACAAAACAGACGAAAACAAAAAGCTATGTCCTTAATAAACAGTACCAAATCCAAAATACACGAGACTAAAGCTGGCTTCCTATTCGAATTTCCCCGTTCCACCTTAAATGGTCCAGAAGTTGCTTTCATACAATGTAACTGCTGCACCATTTAAGGTGGAACGGGAAAACTCGAACGGAAAGCTGTCAAATAAAGATACTGAGTTTGAAATACTGAGTATGTTCTTATTAAGCAGCTGTCACCAGCTAGCATTAGCATTAGCATTAGCATGCTGGGTTAACAATGAACCCCGTTCAAACCGGTTTAAACTAACGTTAGCGTTAGCTTAGCCAACCTAGCCACCTAACTACAAAACAAAACAATGCTGTTTTACTCACATCAATGTCACAATGCAGATACACCCGAAACACCGCTGGGTTAAACGTATATGCAACGTTAAGAGCTCCGTTTTATCCACAAAAAGCGGCTAAAGGCTAAAGCTGCAGTCCGTCTGTCAATGAGACACAAAGAGGTGAGAAGCCCGACCGACTTCCAGAGGGCCCTCAAAGCTTTAAAACGCAATGACCCTCGCTAGAAGTGAATTAAATGCGTGCAGGGCGTTGTGTACGGTCAAATGATGATTTAAAAAAAATAGTGCTGACCCTCCCAGCGGTGTCCAGTTGCTCCCTTCACTCAGGTCCGTGGTTGTTTTGGAAGCGTTTAAAGCAGCGCTGCTACCGACCTCACTGCTTATTAGCGCGGACAAACCCCGCCCACTTCCCTTTCCGTTCGTGGTAGCTAATAAATTCCGTGTTCAAAGATGAATGATGTACGGTGGTGCGGGTTTGCCCATTTTAAATATAGATATGATGACGACACCGTCTGATAAATACGCATATATTTACATGCTTTTAAAAAGCAAAGACTTTGGGTGACGTTAGAATTTATATGACCTGTGATGGACTGGTGACCTGTCCAGGATGTTTCGTGCCTTCCGCCCGTTGACCGCTAGTATAGGCTCCAGCTCCCCCAAGCGACCCAGAGGGATAAGCGGCTTATAAAATTGTGTGTGTGTATGCTGGAATTCTAGAATTTTTGGTTCTGCATGTAGAGAAAAGCAGAACAACAGAACTTAGTGAGAGTTCAGAAAACATGCATCACGTGTGGGAATGTTGCCATTAGTACAAAGCAACTAAACATATTTGGATATTCTAGTTAAAACCTGCAAAGGGCTCCTTTCTGGTAGGTGTTTCTGCTAAAATGGCCTACAGGTATGAGCATTTCCCATATGCCGTTTATACTGTACTGTTAGTATTGTTAAAAAAGACTACCATAACCATTACGTACACATGAAATTATATTTAATGACCTCGAATACAGTACAGAAGTGGGCATTTAACAACCGGAGACATCAAACAGTAGTTTATAACCGAATACATCAATTGATCAGGTTTGCAGTGAGATAGAACCGTTCCGTGAGTTTATACTGATGCACTTTCAGCCTAAAGGAAAAAACATTATATTTTCTATGTAACATCTTAAAGCAAGCAGGATCCACATACAGTAACACTGAATGATAAACTAGAAAATTCAGGATGTTTTAATGCTAGACACACCGAATCATCTAGAGCTTCTTGGACTCACTGGTTTTAACAGGTATCTCTTCTGATTAACTATGCGCCTTAGGAACGTGTTTAACTTGTGCACTAAAGATCACATCGTTGCTGTCATATCAAAACCTCGTAACTTCGAACACCATCTGAAAACAGCTGCCCTTTACATTGAGTGAACACATCACGATCAATGGACCAACAGAAATTACATAAATGGTCCAAAACTATTTTAATGAAATCATTTCAGAGATGTGAGGTTTTGCAGTACTGATCACCCTTTGTTTATTTATTTTAAAGCTAAAAAGTACAAGTTATTTAATTTTCAATGTCAGGGAACAAAAGCAGGAAACAAATTTAACAGAAAATGACATAACAAAATATAATTTCAGTATTCAGTGTGTCCACCTTTTCACTCTATTCAGGAGACTCACTTTTTAGTTTCTCAAAGAATCTGCAGTCTTAGAAGTTCGTTGATAATTTTCTGAAGTGATCAAACACATTCAGTGATGTTGAGGTCTGGACTTTGGTTGTCTTCTCACAGTGGAAGGATGGACAGAAACCCCTGTGGATGTTTTCAGATCTGAAGCAGCTTGATTTTCTCCTCTCTCTCAAAGATGAAAGCTTTAAGTGTTGTTTATCTGATGGGGGCAGCTTTGGTGTCTACCAGGTCTTTCAAGTGGTTGTTAAGAGCCACAATATCTCCTAAAAATGAATATGTACTCACTTTTGTGCAGTACGGTATGACAGCAACGACGGGTCTAAAATCATGACAACAGATACTTGGGTGATTAGTGGTCAGCTTTAGGGAAAGTTTTATTCTATATTGAGAGAAACTCAGCTAAACTTAAGACTAACTAACAAAAACTCCCCATATATATATAAAAGTCCAGTGGTCACTTTTTTCTGCATGTCGTTTAACACACTCTTCCTCATGTTTGCTCCGAAACTTCGCTGGGGACTCCCCTCACGCCCAAACCTGCAGAGGGGGAGGAAAAAATAGCACAATTAACTTCTCTTGTCAAAGCCATTGACAATACTCAAGAATTTAAAGCAAAGAGGGAAGCGAAAGTACTTCTTTTTTTTTTAAGTTTCTATTCTCTCTCTGTGTGGAGATTTTTCCAGCTTGCGGTGCAGCGCGCCTGACTGACACCGCAAGCTGGAAAATACTCTGAACAATCACAGGTGAGTGACGGCATCACTGTGTGAGCTGACTGGGGCAGTCGTGGGCTGGAGGTCAGGGAACCAGCCTGGCAACCAAAAGGTCGCCGGTTCGATCCCCTGAGCCAACAGGATGTAACTGAGGTGCCCTTGAGCAAGGCACCCAACCCCCAACTGCTCCCCGGGCGCTGCGGACAGGGCTGCCCACCACTCCGGGCAAGTGTGCTCACTGCCCCTAGTGTGTGTCTTCACTAGGGTGTATGTGGTGTTTCACTGCACGGATGGGTTAGATTGCGGAGGTGAAATTTCCCCGTTGTGTGACTAATGAAGTTCACTTAATCTTCAAACAGAGCCAGCATTTCTCACTTTATCTCCCCCCATGCCATAATCAAACAAAACATCAGCACTTTCACTGCAGATTTTTAAAAGATGGAGAGCAGCTGAATGTCCCCACAAGACGTTTTCATTACTAATTTTGAATCTATTTATTTTTATTTGCAGTGCACATTAAATCAACCCGAAAGTAAATGTGTCGCTGTTAACTACATTAGAAAATGGCTCATTTTCAGCTGTAGCGCCTGAGGCTTGATGTCATTAGCCAAAGATAAAAGACACTTTACACCAAACTAACCTTTGGTCCCCATCAATACTTAAATATGCAGACAGATGATTGTATTGTGAGGCCACTGAGAACAGTGTTTGGAGGCCTCCCCATGCTCCATAATAAGACGTAACAATAAAAGCAAACAAATAAACAACAAAAATAAGACCTGAAGAGTGAGACAAAACAATAATTCAGGTTTGTGTTTATGTCTATTCTGAGCAACACTGGAAACTTGTTTTTTTGCTTAAAAAAATAAACAAAATTAGCTATGCTAGTGTGCAACAACCTAACGTGTACACTGTAACCAACATCTCATTTAAATGGCATCAGAGTCAATAATACTTGAAAACAAAAAACTGTCGTGAATTCAGATCACATTTTTTCCATTTATTTCAATCATTTTGCCATTTATACATATTCTAAGGCACATGTATCAGGCTCCAGTCCTCGCAGGCCAAAACACTGCAGACTTCAGCACACTGCCTCATTAAACACACCTGATTCAGCTCATTAGCAAGGCCTTCATGAACTGAATTGAGAGTGTTAGATGGGGGTAAACGCTGATCTCCACAGCACTTTGGCCTGGAAGGTCCCCAGCTTGACATGCCTGTTCTACAGTATCTGAGCCACCTCAAGCCTTGTGGTCTGAGGCCCTCCAAGGCTCCTGACAGTCAGTGGCCCCTAATCCAGTCAGTAATCCATACCTGCTTGAATAAATAGCAACACATGCACACAGTTGAACATTTCCTGCTGTAATATAAGATTCAACTAACTTTATGCATGAACATGTAGGTTTAAGCATGTTGTTGCTGTATGAACCAAATCTTTTTTCATTATTATTTTTTCAGAATTTGAAAATGATAGTATGGAAATGTCCAAAATTACTTAAGACTATTTCTTTTCCTGTAAGGATATTACCATTTTTGAGATATGAGGTTAACAATGTGTAATTTTAAGACACATTACAAAAATGTGAAGTGACACAGTCCATTACACTAATTCACATAAAGGCTTGTTTTTTCAAATCACTTCTGTAGTTCTATGTTTTTTTTCTTCCTTACACTGTGCATGTTTTGATATATGTGGGTGGTTCTAATAATCACTCTAATGTGTGATCTGTGATATATACCAGTAGGCTCTCGGTTTCAATTCAACACAGTCCTACCTGTTTTCAAATAAGTAATGTTTGTTTTAAGCATTAAACCAGCTGGACTACTTTTAACCCAGCAGGTGCTGCAATGCATTCTTATAAAGGTAATTTGTCGGGATCTGATTGGCTGGTTCAGGACAAAATATCTGTATAATCTCCCCAGATTCCCCCAGACAGCCCGGACTAAAAAATCTGGGATTTTTTAGCCTAGATATGCACATTAGAATTAAAATTAAACTCACTCCACAATTATTACCGTCAGACTGTAAAACTACACACACTGCAGATTCATACTGGATTAAAATCACAATTATTACTGTCAGACTGTAAAATTACACACATTGCAGATTCATACTGGATTAAAATCACTCCACAATTATTACTGTCAGACTGTAAAACTACACACACTGCAGATTCACACTGGATTAAACTCACTCCACAATTATTACCGTCAGACTGTAAAACTACACACACTGCAGATTCATACTGGATTAAAATCACAATTATTACTGTCAGACTGTAAAATTACACACACTGCAGATTCATACTGGATTAAAATCTCAGTAAACAAGTGATTAGTTTTCTCACCCGCAGTGTGTTGTCCCACGATCCCGAGCAGAACGCTGTCCCATCGGGCGACACTCGGACAGTGCTGACCCGGTTCTCATGCCCAAAGAGAATGGCCACTCTGGTGCCCTTTAAAACATCCCATACGTTGATGTTGTAGTCGTTATATCCAGCAAACAGCAGCCGACCTGAGAGAGACAATAACAGTAAAACATGCATTTACAATGAAAATAAGTTTAATACATAAAACTTAAATGTGACATTTTTTTTATACATGCAAAGAATAGGGTGTTTTGCCACAGGTGTATAAATCAAGCACCTAGCCATGCAGTCTGACTTTACACACATTAGTGAAAGAATGGGTCGTTCTAAAGAGCTCACTGAATTTGAGCGTGGTGCTGTAATATGATGCCACCATTGCAACGAGTCAGTTTGCGAAATTTCTTCCCTCCTAAGTATTCCACGATCAACTGTGAGTGGGATTATTGAAAAGTGGACCACATAAAGTTACAGAGCGGGTCGCTGAGTGCTGAGGAGCATAGTGCATAAAAGTCACCAACGCTCTGCTGATCAATAACTGCAGAGTTCAAACCTCCTCTGGCTTTAACATCAGCACAGAAACTGTGTGCTGGGAGCTTCATGGCAGGGTTTCCATGGCTGAGCAGCTGCACGCAAGCCTGACATCACCAAGTGCAAGCGTTGGATGGAGTGGTGTAAAGCGCCGCCACTGGACTCTGGAGCAGTGAAAACGTATTCTGTGGAGTGACGAATCACACTTCTCTGTCAGTCTGATAGACGAGTCTGGGTTTGGTGAATGTCAGGAGAACGTCACCTGCCTGACTACACTGTGCCAGCTGTAAAGTTTGGTGGAGGAGGGATAATGATATGGGGCTATTTTTCAGGGGTTGGCCTAGAGCCCTTAGTTGACCTGAAACCCATCAGGCACCTTTGGGATGAACTAAAACAGAGATTGTGCACCAGGCCCTCTCGTCCCACATCTGTGTCTGACCTCACAAATGCTCTTCTGGATGAAAGGGCAAAAATTCCCACAGACACACTTCAAAATCTTATACAAAGCTTCCCAGAAGAGTAGAAGCTGTTACAGCTGCAAAGGGCTGCAACTCCATATTAATGCCTATGGATTTGGAAGGGGATTCATAAAAGCTCCTGTAGGTGTGATGTGGTATCCCAATAATTTTGTCTTTTGTCCAAATATATATATATATATATATATATATATATATATATATATATATATATATATATATATATATATGTGTGTGTGTGTGTGTTTGTGTGTGTGTGTCATAACTTTCATAACTGTGGCACAGGGTAGATTTTTTGTTTCATTTTTTGTCCAATAGGTTAAATTCAGCAAATAAACAGTAAATGTGTACCAAAATGTGCAGAAGTGTGCAGACTTATCTGTAGAGGTTAAGTTCACTTATTTGCACTTAGAAAACAACAGCATGGAATTTGACCAGGGGTGTTGTGGAAGACTGTATGTAAATAACTCTGCTCCGATTGGCTGCTCTGTTCTGTACCACATTAAAAAGTGGTCCAGGCTGAAATACCTCAGTCCTGTTTACATACTTACTCTTTTAAATGTCTCGGCCCAGTCAGTTTCTTAGACTCACTAAGAACTTAGCTAACGATGCCAAATCCAGCTAGTCAACAAGAGTGCAGTTGCTCAGACTGACTTGTTTTTTTCTCTTTCTCTTGGAATGATATTAGCTACAAACTCAATGACAAAAAGATTGAGAGAGTGGGTAAAATGCAAATAACAAAAAATACAGGGATATTTTAAATCTACTTTGACCTACTTTTAAACAGAAACAGTACAAAGACAAGATATGCCTGATTTTATCTTGTCAACTTCATTGTTTTTTGTGTAATATACGCTCATTCTGAAATTAATGCCTGCAACATGTTCCAAAAAAAGTTGTGTAAGGGGCAAACTTAAGACTAGGAACACTGTGATATGTTCAGTAATTATGCTTGGATTTAAAAGGAGTATCCAGGAAAAGCGAGTCCTTAACGAGCGAGGACGGGTCAAGGTTCACTACTCTGAAAAACTGCATCAGTAACAAATCCAACAGTTTAAAAATAACATTGACCAATGAGTGACTGCAAAGATTTCAGATATTTCACACTCTGTTGTGTATAATATCATCAACAGATTCAGGGAATCCAGAGAAATCTCTGGGCGAAGAGGTGCATAAATGAATGCCCATGATGACCTTTGACCCCTCAGATGGCACTGCATTAAAAAACAGTATTTTTTTTTAAAGATATCATCACATAGGCTTGGGAATACTTTGACAAACCATCAAAAACACTGTTCACCACTGCATCCACAAATACAGCAGAAGCCATATTTCAACAACCAAAAACGCTGCCAACTTCTCTGGGCTCGAGTTCTCCTGAAATGGACTGATGCACAGTAGAAACATGCTGTGGTCCGACAAGCCAACCTTTGAAATTGTTTATGGGATTAATGGACGTTGTGTTCTCTGGGCCAAAGAAGAAAAGGACCATTCAGATTACCAGTGTAAAGTTCAGGGACGTCCATGTTTTTTTCAACATGGCAAAACCAGAACACATTCTGTTTGTGTTACAACAGCATGGCTGCGTAATCAGAGTGTGTGTGGTAGACTGACCTGCCTGCAGTCCTGAACTGTCTTCCATTGAAAACGTGTCTTATTGAGCTCACAAGACAACAACAAAGGTCCTGTACAACTGCACACCTTAGGACTTGTATAACTGAAGAATGGCAAAAAAATTCCACTTGCAAAACTGGTTCAGTTTTTGTCTTCTGTCCCCACATGATTATTAAGTGCTGTTAAAAGGAAAGGTGATATAACACAGTGGTAAATATGCTCCTGTTTCAACTTTTTTGGAAAGTGTTGCTGGTATCAAATTAAGAATAAGCAAAAAAACAATGATGTTCATAGGGTAAAAAATTTAATAATGTGTTTTTTTGTACTCAATTCAATACAGCTCAAACAGAACATACTAATCAATGTTTTCTGTTTTTATTAGCAGTTCACATCCTGTCCCAACTTTTTTGGACTGGGATTTGTAAAGTGGGCGGTCTGCACTCCCCAAACATTATATTTGACTTTATGTACTGTAGATGAAGCATGTTAACCCTCACTTTCTAGTCTTACAGCTATAAGGGTCATAGGAAAATTTAGATAGCAAGCAGGAACTTATAAGCCAGTGAAATTAAAACCTTTTGGCACATGAAGTACTAAGAAAGTCACTTTGAGCACAAAAAAGCAACAATATATGTAGATTCAACAATAAATTTACATTAACTACAACATTTAGATGTAGGCTTTAAGTTTAGTAAAACAGCTGCAGAAATCAGAACTAGACCAAACTACAAATTACAATTAAGCACAGCAACATTTGATGTTTAGCATAGCAGCCCATTCTATTATTATATTATTAACCACACACAGTTTATAAGCGTGTTTATCACTGGCTGTTATTGTTTGACCAGATCCTTGGTTTCTAAATAAAACATTACAGATCTAAATTACTAAGAAGCGACCAAAACAACTGAAGTTATCAGACTGACTGGTCAAAAAACATAAAAAATTCCAGGTTGTAAAGGTAAATTCCCCAGAGGGCATGTTTTGATATTTACAAATTAGAAAAGGGAGAACAAAACTAGAACACACTTTCTGCAACACGCTGAGGTTAGTGAGTTCTTGGTAATGACCAAATTTTGTCCCAGTCTTAGCTGTTGCTGTTTTCATACTTTTATGTATTTATTTATTTATTTATTTATGTTTATGAAAACATGTTTGCATTTCTATTATTTTGCTTTTTGTTTGCTCTTAAAAATGCACTGCACTACTGTTATTCTTTTAAATGTGCTTTATAGATAAAATCTGCATACTTGCTGTATGTTCTACACCACTGAAAAACCTTTCAACCCACTGACACAAATGAAAGCCGATGCACTCAGCAAGCCCACACTGGTCTTATCACCACAGTCAAAAGGAAAACAGAACAGGGCTGAAGGGTTAATGGGAGGGACACAGTTCGTTAGAATGAGCTACTGTCTTTACTCATGCAAACCGGTGCTGTAACTGGTCTTTTTCCCAAGTGCTGAGCTTGGAGGATTCCACCCACAGCCCCAAAAACACCTTCGGGCCTGTGGAGGCCTGTGAGGGGTCAAAGGTCTCAGTGTCAGGACTATGGCACTGTTTTTCAACCTAATCTGTATTTGTTGCATAAGCAAGATACACAGAGGGGAACCCTCAGGGCCTTTTAGGCCTTAAGAGAAGATTTCTGTGAAACAAAAAGTACATTTGTATTTAATATAATCGTCATGCTGGTTGAATTTAAAGTCTGCAAGTATTATAGTAATACTTATTAATTCATTAATAGTTTGGTTGGAAAGAAAATGGACAAATTCTTGAAATAGCCAATCAAAAATGGTCCAATCAAGGTAGACACAGCTGAGCGAGCTCTCCCATTGGTTAGGACTTCAGGACCTGAACTGAAGGCCTTACACTTTAGAGGAACTACCAACATAATTAGGAAGTTACAGAGGAACCAACCAATCATGTCTCGATTTACAATGTTGTGAGAAAAAAATCATCTTCTGGAAGATCTAGATACATCACTGACTGTGAACACGTGTCGTGGTCTAAGCAGGTTCCGGTTAGTTGTTAGGAATGGAAAACAGTGGCAGCAGGATACATACAAGCTCAAATATATGTTATTGTCTATTACAAGCTCAAATAAAACATATGTAATGTCTTTTACAGGCTTCGACTGTTTGTGTTTCATCTAGATTGGCCAAAAAAGTTAATGTTCTTTGCTGTCTGCTTTTTTGATAACACAACAACATACTACGTTGATCCAATACTAGCTGAAATTAGCATTATCATATTCCTCGTTTTTTGTCATTTATAGCCAGAACTGTAGGCCTACAGTCACAGCTCGCCATTGAAAATACGGTCGACAATAATTCTGAGACTTAATAAAAGAACCGAAAATCTGTTGACTCAAAAGTCACTTATAATAGAAGCCCAAAGGGCAGGTGCTTCAACATGTGAACCTTGTGATTCTGAACCAGCTGGTTTTCTGTTCTATTCTAAGTACAGGGAAATTAATCGAAATTATTGCTCGTGCCACTAACCATACGCTACAGATGCGACAGACAGAGATTAAGCTGAAAAATGCTGGAGTACTCCTTTAACAGGACTCTGCTAAAACAGCACCAAAGCAGGGACAGAAGTCTGTTGTTTTGTCTCTGCCATGGCAGAACCACAACAAAATCAGGGGAAACCCATTTAGACATAACTGTCATGGGTGTTTTCCAAAAGTGTCTTAGCTGAAGGATGTAGGAATGAGTGGGGAATGTTTTCACCACTAATTTTTATCAAAATGTTGATGTAGTCTTTCTGGAACTGTATACTGAGCTTTGCTGGTATTTGGTATCTGTTCTTAAAGAAGTACACAGCTAAAAACAATAGCAGCCATCCTCAAACCACATTATAGCCCAGGCATGTCAAAGTGCGGACCTTCTGGGCCAAAGTGCTGCAGAGATCCGCGTTTACCCTCATCTAACGTTCTGAATTCGGTTCATGAAGGCCTTGCTAATGAGCTGATGAGCTGAATCAGGTGTGTTTAATGAGGCAGTGTGCTGAAGTCTGCAGTGTTTTGGCCCACAAGGACTGGAGCCTGACACATGTGGTTTAGCCCACGTTTATAGATAACAGTGAGTCATACAGTGTCAGAAACCACATAATCAAGTCTATTAGAGATACTGAACACCTCCACACAGTTACCAAGAAACCAGCATATCATTGTTTTTGGAAGAAAACCTCCAAATCTCCAAAATGGTAACTTTACAGGAGAAGGAAAAAACATACTTTACTTTTAATGTAAATCAATGGAAACAGACTTTTCTCCAAGTCACTGTGGGCCGTTTCTTTTTTTACATCTTTTTTCCATTCATCATGAAATTTACACACAATATGGTGACAGGTATTTTCAAATTAGGTCAAACATTTAAAAAATACAAAAATGGAGATACGAGGTTTTCGACAGCAGCGATATACTGGTGCACTGACTTAATAAGGTGGGCACCCCGTTGACTCTATGCCATTGTTGATCCATCCTCTGACCACCCAGATTACTGTCCTGGTTACATGGTCAAAACAAACCTGTAATGAGAACAGTGATTCTCTAGTTCAGTGCAGCTATGAGGCTAATGTAGCTAACAAGCACTAGAAGTCAACAGTCACCCAAATCGTTTCTGTAAATACATCCACAAAATGTGGCTGTACGAGCACTGCTGTCATCCCTAGTTTGCCTGGCGGTATATCAACAATATGGCAGTGGCGACGTCAATCGCATACTATGTATTGTTTGGTAGCACAAGTGCTACGGATGCTACCAGGTGGCCTGAGCTGAAAGTCTGCCGGAAATAGCAACAGTAACTAAGGGAGGCAGGGCTAACAATTTGTAACCCAAATGGGTAACGGATGCTAGCAGAGCTTTCTTAGCATTCTGCATCTGTAAGAACAGACACAGCTGGTTTCCACCTCAGACCACAGAAACCACCAGGTCAGTATGTTACATTACGGTGTTTATTGGTTTGCTAATAACTTCAGCACAGGCCTCAAGCCTTTCTTAGCATTAGCGCTGTGCTCTCCATTCCCTCACCGCTGAGCGAGAAGTCCACACTGGAGGCGCCGAAGATGATGCTCTCTTTTGAGTAGATGGCCACTTCACGGTCGGCCCGCAGGTCATACAGGCGGCACTGGAACGCAATAAATGTATTATTTACTGATGGACAATGCCATAAAGCATAACAAAGCCACAAACCATAACCATCCACACATTTCAAACCCTAAATTAGCCACTTTTTTTTTTTTTTTTACAATAGCCAATATGCTGTCCACATTTACATCTCTAGGACTGTCACTGTCATTAGCTGGTTCAATATACGATCATGCTGCTAGGCATATTGGGCTAACTGTCACTGCACTATGCTATGCTGCTATTGTTACAGTTTATTTATCATTAGCACAGTTAATCTACCCTCAGATCTTTTGCATTAGTCACATTCTTCTTTCTGTCTCATACTATACTATATCGTTCGTTATGTTCATATTACTTCATTTAAGGATGAGACTCGAGCCTATTTTTATACTTATTGCATTTCAATTTAATATATAGCACTGCATAGCCTTGCTTAAAGGACAATTCTACATATTTTTCAAAATTTCTGCTTAATTTAGAGGTTAAGATCAGAGGTTGCCATGTCTACAACGCAAATATAGCCATTTTATGTACTATCCATACTATTTATACTTCGTTTTTATTCATTTACTAAAAATATTTTCTTTGTCTATTGCCATCTGCCATGAATGTATTTAATATATATATATATATATATATATTTTAGGCCAAAAGTTTGTATGAACACTACCATAAAACCTCAAACGTCAGGCAGCATATTCCTAACTGTTTCATGTAATAACTCTCTGGGAGGGAACTTTTAGAGGTGGACGTCTGGTTCCCATCACCATCACTGTGAACAATTTTGACTCGGTAAGTTTCTCTAGAACAGAGCATTTCACACCAAACCACTCTGAATGACTTTACATCTTATCCATTTATGCAGATTTTGAGAAGGTGGTGGAATTTCTCTTGGTCTATAATGAGTCAACTAACCAATGGCATTATCATGTCAATACTTCAAATGAACTCTCAGTGCACCTGAGAACTCAAAACCACATGATTTAGTCAACAAGCTACCATGAACTTTGACCAGGAACATCAATACCAGATGAAAGTTGTTCAATCACAGTTTGTTATCTTGAGAATGGCCTTTAGACATTTTTCCCAGCATGCTCTATGTTAATTTTTGATTCATTTGCATCTTTCGACTTTTGAAACTGCTCAGTATTGCTGGTTAGGGCAGTGGGCTGGGGGGTGTAAGGGGTTTAATGTGGTGTGTCATGGATTCTGGGGCAAAACAGGAAAGTTTTACTGATCAGCTTTTACTGAGTGAGAATGCTAAAAAAAACTTACAGTGGCATCGTCAGAGCCGGTGGCAAATGCATCGCCGCTGGGATAGTACCTGCAGGAAACACATACACACAGGGAAGAGTGAGAGAGAACAACTTCTATTTGCACTTGATCACACCCTTCACTTCTCGTACACCCTGCATGCTTCACTTACCTCAGATGTAGTTGAACAGCCAAGGAATGTTTGGGGTCCAAATTTTGCTTCTTTAGTTTAGCGCTGGAGCTTCAAGGCTGCTGCAGCTAATAAATACTAGAAGTCAATAGTCACCCAAATCCTTTTCTCATTCTCACATTCTCAAAACTTCTCTTAAATGCAACATTAAAGGGTTATTCAACATTCCATACAAAACTCAGAAGACTCGTGTAGGTTCACTGGTGGTTTTGGATAGTAAATAAAATGTCTATATTTGTGTTGTAGTCATGGCGACCCCTGGTTCCTATCACCACCACTGTAAAGACATCTGAACCATTTCACACCAAACCACTCTGAATCACTGTTTACATCTCAAATACTGAATTATGCAGAAAATTTGGAAAAATAGGTAAAATTTGACAGGTGTTTTGCCAAATTTTGATGATTTGGTGATGTTTTTAGAGAAACGATTTCGGTGACTATTGTCTTCCAGTGTTTGTTAGCAACGTTAGCCTTGTAGCTCCAGTGCTAAATTATAGAGGCAAAAGAATTTGGACACCAAAAGCCAACTACATCTGGGCTAAGAGGAAAATTGTGTAAATTCGATCATGAATTATTTAGTAACTGCTATAAATTATTTAGGAACTACAATAATTCAATATATTTTATGAATTATTCAATAACTACAACAAAAGTTTAAGTACATGCTATAATTTTTTCATAATGTCTATATTCAGTAATGACTATGAAATATTTTGCACCTACTATATATTATTCACTTAGTATGAATGATTAGTAACTCCTATAAATATTATTTACTATGAATTATTTAGCAACTATTATAAATTATTCAGTATCTAACATAAATAAGTACCAACTATTAACGATTCAGAAACTGCTATGAATTATTCAGCATGTACTATGAATTCATCCCCTTGGAATTATAAGGTTCTATCAGCGTTCAGAGCAGTTTTAAGATACTAAGATTGAAAGATTTTGCATTTAAAATAGCAAAACTGATATGTGAACACAATTCTTTCAGACATGAAAATGACCGACACCCTAAATTTATTCTAAATGTATAATATCAAAATCCTATCAAATCTGTAAATTAGTTTTTTGGAACAGGTCAAATGCAGATAGAACCTTCTAATCCTGAGAACTCACTTTCACTCACTGCTTGGAATTATTAGGTTCTATCTGGGAAGACATGAAAAGAAGCATTGATTTTCCAAATGGTTTATACTCGTAACAAAAAATTAGTCCAACAGAGTGTCTACATTTTCATACTTTATCAGGAAGTTAAATTTAACGCTTTGTGACATTTTTATGACATTTATTTTCACTATCAATTTATATTGTTATAACATTTATTTCTTGTTTTAGGACAAATCATCTTTTTCTTTATCAAAAAAGCATTGTAGATTAAGTACAAAGGTCAGTGCTAAACATTTTGTCCAGTGCAGAGGTCAGTTTTAAAAGGGAACCATTAGTTTCCTTCAGGTTAAACAGAGACCAGCTACTGTAATAAGTTATCACTGAAAGTAAGTGTAGCAGGTCAGTCTAAAACTGTGTGAGGTTTTGTTTTATATCAGAAATGTGACTCTAATGAACCAAAACGTCTTGTTTTGGGGGGAAGAAGAAAACGAAAAGATGGATGAATGAATGAAATTAATGTTTATGTTGTAATTAAGAGCCCATTAATTCAAATGCTTACTATTTCATTACCTTTAAGGCTTAATGTGTATAAAATTTAAGATAGTAAGGCTTTTTAAAGAACTTTAAGTTTTACTTAGTTCTATCTTACTAAGTGAGTTTAACCTTTTTGTGTTCCAGACAAAGAATCTGACACAATGTAAAAAATCACTCATGTAAACGTTCAGAAGTGTCACAGAATAAAAATGTGAAAAAGTCAATTTTGACAAACCTTATAATTCCAAGGGGACAAATTATAAAGTAACTAGTATGAAACTAATGTGTAAGTTCTGTAGTTATGCGAGTGAGGAACTGAAGTATGGACCCCCACATAGACCTTTACACCTTTTTCTAACAGCAAGCAAAGTGAGCAAGCATCAACAGCAATACCAGGACGCTCCTGTAATAATCATTTAACGAGCGCTGCGCTGCGATTCGCTGCACTGTTCTGACTGATGAATGTCCTGTTACTATTTCTGACATCAGCTCATGCTGAAGTTTCGGTTTATTAGCTGATAGGTCTGTAAATTATTTTGTTTTGACCATAAAATCCTGAAGGCTTTGTGGTGTGATACTACATTCTGAGCGCTTGCTTGCTCTCAGGACGGGGACGAGATGCTGCCTGGAAAAACAACACTGAGCTGAATGCCAAAGAACCCTGTGGCAGTTTGTATCAGTTCAAATCACTCACTTTACGCTGTTGATGTCCGATTCATGAGTCTCAAAGGACTGGATGTTCTGGCCTGAGCGCATGTCCCACACATTAGCCTTCTTATCACAACCCTAAATAAAAAAAATGAAGCACATACACGTTAGTCTTTTATCACACCCTAAATATAACACCAGCGTTAGCTCTGTCTCAACCACAAACAGAGACACAAACGCATTTTAGACTTATCACAGCCCTAAACAAACATAGTGCTGGAAGAAGCTGCAGGTCACAGGAGGACGACTCAGACAACAGCTGATGATGATAAAGCTATCAGCAGTAAATATGTCAGCAACACCACTTAATCAAATCATCTGCATGTGATCTGCTTTGCATGCTGTATCAGTGACACAGAGAGGAGAACAGGTGTGATCTTCAGACAACTGGGCCATATTCAGACATTCACTGTTGTAAGTCAGCATGAATAGGTAATATTAACTCTTCCTCCTTTGTTATGTATTTGTAAGTTTCTGTGTTTACATGCAAAGATTTTTGCCAATCTGATTTAATACATTCAAATTATAGATGACTGAGGTGTTTATATCTCACTCTATGTTGAACGTTATAAACATTGACGATCGCACCACACATGCGCAGAACGTACTTAAACTTTCTGATAGGGAATGTAATCAGATATAGGCGTTTACACTGATATTATTCTTTTATTTAACTGATTATTTACAGGATTACCCACCTTGTTCAATCGGATAGAAACTGTATTCCGAATGACCTCAGTTGGACTAGACTTTTCAAACTGAGGAGTTTACATAGACATATTCTATTCCGATTGAGCTATTAGTCAGATTATTAACAAACTGTTAGGCGCCATGTAAACGTGGCTGTCCTGTATTGTGCCTCATTCAGAAAGCAATCCAGGCTGAAACACTCCTTATAACTTCAGTGTGAATGGGCGGGGCCAAAATGCTGTCAGCTGAATAATCAGAAATATGTACTGATTGTTTTTTGTGACATCACAAAAGCAATTCCAAACAGGCTGTTTTTGCAGCTTATGGCCTGGAGAGTGAATGGTACATTTGGGGCTGCATGATAAGTCGCATTTTTATCGTGATAAACACATTGATAAACACATTGAGCGGCGATGACAGAACAGATGTCGCCCATAACTCAGCTTTAATGGAAATACCATTAAACTCAAAACAGTGTACAGCAAAGGGGAAAACACACAGCACACAGTCTGCTCAGGCTCTTGTGTTTTCTGCCAGCTGGGCTACTGAAACTTGCTACCTTACAGCCCCCCAGAGTCCTTCAAAATAAGAGTCCCGGACCAACTAAGAACATGGTGCCTAACTACACTCAACCAAAAGCAAAAACAATGTTATTTTTTTACTAAATACAACCCGGAATGTCTGATACCACAATATTTAATAACTAAACAAAAAAATAAAATGAAACAAGAATCTGTATTATGTATATATTTGGTTTTGTAGCCTTTACATAAAAAGCTGTTGTGGTAATGCTGACTGTTTCTTAGCCCTTCAGTGCACAAAAAATGTGCTTGCAGTTCTGATGTAAGTAGTTGTTGGTATTTCACTTCTTTTTAATTTACAGAACAGTAAATGGTGCTTTTGTAAATTTGTATTTTGCTATTTGTTTAAACCTGCGATGGACTGGTGACCTGTCTAACTGCCTTCCGCCCAGTGAATGCTGGGATAGGCTCCAGCTCCCTCCGCGACCCAGAAGAATAAGCGGCTTAGAAAATGTGTGTGTATGTGTATTTGTTTAAAGAGAGGTTATTTAGATTCTGTTTACACATCTCAAAAAAATGTTTGCATGTGCATCACATCCAGCCATAGACTCATTATTTTAATACTAATTTATCGTTTTTCATATCGTCATCGTTATATCCGACAGCTTTACTGAACAGCGCATTTTATGTCCATATCGTGCAGCCCTAGTACACTCCAAAACTTTAAGTTAAAATGTGGTACATCGAACTCTTTCATTAAAGAATAGGTTCTCCTGTGATACGAGTCCTTTAAAGTTTCTCTACTCAAATGCCTAACTGGACCAGTGCACGGGTTTGCTTGAAAAAGGCCAATTAAGTGGCAAAGTTGCAGCTAACTGTCAGGACTGGTTAAGAAAAATCACAATAATAATATCACTCAAAGCCAGCTCAGAGAGCAGAGTGAGCACAGATGGGTGGATGGGTAGAATGACCATAAAGAGTGATCAGGGAGGAGAGCGTGAAAGATGAGAATGATACTGACTCCAGAAACAAAGGTGTTTCCCGTCTCTGAGGGCGCCAAGTCCAGCGACAGCACATCAGCTGAGTGGCCGTGGAAACTCTGCAGCAGCTGACCACTCTCCACATCCCATAATGCACACGTACCATCACCACTGGAGGTCAGCAGCTGAAGAGAAGACACACACATTTGTTTTTACACAAAGTCAGGACACTCATATGTAGGTATGTAAGAACTATATATTTAATGATGTCCCACATTTGTACCTATATGTCACATGCTATATATGTATTATGCATATCGTCGCTGTCCAAAGAAAAACACAAATTTTTACTTTTCTACATCATTTGAACACGGCAGCTCTTCTTTATATTGTGTTACAATTTCATGATGAACAGACCAACAGAAATGCTCCAAAATAGCTTGGAATAAAATATCTTTACATTAACGCAGATTTAAAGAACACTAGTGCTTATCTATGTACAATAAGGCCTACATATCGTTGCTGTCGGGACGAAACCTTGTATCTTCATTTTTGTCGTTTTTGATATTTTGACGTAGTTTGAAAAAGGCAGTTGCCTTTTATGTTGTGTCAGAATTTCACGATGAATGGACCCACATAAATGGTCCAAAATTACTCTGAAAAAAACATTTCTTCATTTACCTCCCTTAAAAGTTAATAATGTTTGTCCTTGTCCTGTAAAGTTAACCTTTTGGAGATGAGGTTTTGTTTTGTTCCAACATCAGCGATACATAAAAACAGAACCAAAAAAGTTCTGTTTTTGTCCTTTCAGTTTTAAAAAATGGAACCACACTGTTGGTCATGCAGGTCAGCCTGACTCTGGTTTCCCTGCAGATTCAGGACATTTTTGTCCAAAACCTCACAAACACTCTGAATGTGAAAGATCTTGCAAACTGCAGCAGAGTTTTAGTGCAGTAACCTCTGAGTGGATCCACGCCTCCCCCTGCTGGCAGGTGTGTGGGTGTGCATGCAAATTCTGCTGCCCCTCCTGTCAGACTCGCCTCATAACTAAACCAGTCCTTCCTGAAATCCCCGTAGCATGTAGATGACGTAAACTATCAGTGTGTGAGTTCAGAGAGATGCTCAGTCTACCGTGCTATGGAAATCTCTCATTACAGTGTTTTTGGTAAATTCACGCATGACCGCTCTCTCTGTCTCTCACCATTTCACATGAGTGAGAATACATGTGTAATATCTGTACAGTGAGTGTAATGTACTCATAAACCAGTGAAGCGTACTCACTGTAAACCCCCCACAGTCAGCCCACCTACTTCAACACCTGAGCTGTGGTGAGCACTATATAATGATCTCATTATATATTATTATAATTGGGGCTGTCAGTGTAATATAGTAAAATATATAATAACTAGGGCTGGATTTGAAGGGGGGGGGCATCATTATATCATTATATCACCAATTATGTCCACTGTCAACATTTAATATCAATCAACATTTGAGATTTGCACACTAACTTACTTTAGATTTATGAAATCCATAAAATACACAAAAAAAAAAACAATGCAATGTTATTTTAAAGTCGGATTATTGCTTTCTAGGCGATATAATCAGAGTATGAGATCACAGATTTATTAAAAAAGGTATACCTACAGTTCATAACCACCACTGCACCACATCTTACGATTTTTTGAATTCAACCAATAATCATACTGAAAAGCGCCTTTATAGTATGGTACAATATTAGAACTGAGACTAATTTGTTTGCGAAACATGAAAACTATAAAGAGAACATAACCGTCTTATAAAATTTGGATGTATTTTCTGAGTTTTACATATTGGAAAAGTATAAAACATAAATATAAAAAGTGCTGTAGCTTTTGCACAGACCACATTTTATGTTTTATTTTTTCCAATATAATAAAATCATTTCAGTGATAATAATCTCTCTGTATACAGTAATCTGGTGCACTGTAAACTCCCCACGGTTAATTTATTCACAGTGACAAGAAACTTCTGTTTGGCGATTCTGCTGCTGATTGGGGTAAACCAGGAAAACCCCGCCTGACTTTCACTTCTGCTTTACACTCTCAGCTTCTGCGGTAACCAAAATCAAGAGCAGTCACTTGTGTAAGATCTAAATATATGTAAGAAAAGAAAGCACCTGCCACCTAAGATTTATGATGAAGAAAGAAAAATCCTGCACACGAAAAAACACCTACTAGCATTTACATATTAATCAGCCTTCATCAATGAAAACTCACTTCCAGAAAGAAAACATTACAGAGTCATTTTAGATTCCAATTAGAGTTGAAAAGGGACTTTTAAATGTAAATTATGTATAAATTTACCAGGAAATTAATAGGCAAATTACATTTAACATAGCGCAACTTATATATATATATATATATATATATAAAATGTGCTAATGGCCATTTTCTAAATTAATCATGAATAAACATTTGTCACTCTAATGTATGTGGTTGACTGTGAGCAAAATAAAATATGATATAGAACGGCTCCGGCAGCAGATATAAGAAAAAAATGCTAAACTTATGTCCGTCTCTTTGCTAGCAGCTACGCTAAGCAGCGCTTACAGTCGGCTCCATCTTCCGCTGCACTCAGCGTCCACGCACATCTCCAGCTGCTCCAGCGCTAAAAATAAACCCACAATGGCAGGCCATTAGCGACCACCCCGCTGCAGCCCACGATTTGGCCTGCAGACACGCACTCAGCTCAGCTGAATTATTCACAGTCCCAGCAGGAACCGGCATCAATCAACCAACCAGCAGAGCTTCTCACACTCAGCGTTTCTACAGGATCCTCACTGCTGAAGCCTGACTCATCACAGCCAACAGCTACACACAGAGCAGTTTACCATCACCGGACCCTAAACGTACTGACCAGACCATCTGTAGATCACAGGCAGTGTGACGGGACTGAGGGGTGATCTTTCAGGGCTGCACACATACATACTTACATACAATACATAGAGGTGGACAATATGACAACAGCATAATATTGAGATACTTCAAGAAATTTTTGCAATACATGAAAAGAGAAAAAAGAACCTAAACAAAATGACTTCCACAATACAATACAATTATTTTGCATACTGTGTTGCACTAAATCAAATTGAACAGGACAAATTTTGCTCTCTTTAAAATAAAACATGCAGTTGGTCAGTGTGTACAATCATATACACAAGATATGTTCAGGAAAGTATATAGTATTGTACTGTGACATAATTTATCACGATAATGACAGATGTTGTCATGTTATATATATACACACACACACACACACACACACACACACACACACACACACATACATACATATATATATATATACACACATATAAAAAAGAGACATGCGCCATATGATTATTACACATAGGTGTCTCATATATATGTAGTACATATGAGGCACATTATAATTATTACATATAGGTACTTGGGGATATTGTGGGATACTTTGCAGCTGGTGTGATTTGAAAACTGTGATTTTGATATGAAAGCGATTAATCGTTCAGCCCTAACATCGGCCACGTTGTTATCACATAAAGGTACTTACATATCGCTGCTGTCAGAACAAAACCCCCGTATCTCCATTTTTGTCATTTGTCAGCTTTTGACACATTTTGCGAGTGCTCGTTGTCCTTTTTGTCCTTTACATTGTGTGTAAATTTCAAGATGAACAGACCTAAAGAAACGGCCCAAAATGACATGGAAAATTGTTTGGTTCCACTGACTTACATTAAAAGTAAGGTATGTTTTTCTTTCTCCTGTAAAGTTACCATTTTGGAGATACGAGGTTTTGATCCAACAGCAGCGATTTATATATAATACATATGGGACCAAGTGCACACTGAATATACAAATACAGAAGGAACCTTTTTGTTTTAGATGTTTGAAAATAGCATGAGAATTTTATTTCAGCCAAAAATATTACTGAATATTGTTATACAGAGTATAATTGACTGAACACAGCTGAATCACCACTTTCAGATTAATGTACCACGATACATTTTACAGACTTACTGTCCTCCTATGTGAACGAGAGCTAACAGGTTTACATGTCCCTGATTAAAGCAAAGGTCAAAGCATGTCATTATCACAGTGTGAAGATCAGCATATTCATAATCAGCATATTCATAAGACACCAGGAGGCTATTAATAAAGATGGTTCTTCAATGGTTCTTTACAGGTACCAAACCATGAACACTCAAAGAACACTTTGCAAGATTAAATGGTTCTTTGCATCACAAAATGGTTCTTCATATTGTTGCAAAATGTGTTATATGGTTCTATATAGAACCTTTTAGAAAGGGTCCTAAATAGCACCAAAAAGGGCTCTTCTATTGTTACGATATCAAGCTTGTTGCAATAGAAGAACTATTTTTGGTGCTTTTGCCTTTTGCAAAAAAAGTTCTATATAGAACCATCTACAACACATTCTCCAACAATCTGAAGAACCATTTCACAATGCAAAGAACCCTTTAATCTTGCAAATGGTTCTTTGAGTGTTGATGGAACCACTTTCTTTACTCAAGAACCCTTGAAGAACCATCTTTTTTAAGTGTGTAGACTATAACTACACCTACAACACTGTATCCTGCATATAGTGTATTTGATACATGCAAGGAATTTCACTATTCTAGCAATTAAGGTACTTTTATTATTATTATTATCGTTTTTTATTTTTCTTTCTCAATTCTGCTCTACTTAATTTACTCCATTCTATGCTTTTAATATTATGTAATTCAGATTTTGTTGCTGAGTATTTATTTGTCGTTATGACTGAAAGAATTGTTATGTTATTATTTCATGTTTAAATGTATTTTAATTTTATTTAACATGTACATTTGCTGTACATTTGGTATAATTCAACTGAATTGAAATCAGAATGTCCTTAATAAACTGAGATTATAGACTCTTAATAACATCTTACCTGCATGTCAGAGTTGGTGAAGCTGCAGGCTGACAGGTAGTTGGTGTGCATCGCTACGGATTTCTTCTTAGCGGCCAAATTCTCATTTTTATCCAGAGACAGCGGATACACAGAGCATTTATTATCCAGACCACTGAGAGAGAGAATAAAGAGAGAGGAGGAATAAATGAGGGTTCGAACGTGTTAATAATCCTCACAAGTTTTAAAATGAACTCAGCTCTGCACTTTTATTTAAAAGGTCAGTACAGCGGACAACAAATTTTCCTCAATTTCTTAACATAGAAAAGAGTATATAAACATTAAAACCTCAAAACGTACCGTTCCCTCACCAGTCTATACAGGCTACACACGAACTAACCCACAAAAACAGCCTGTTGTACAATGGTTGCTTTTGTGATGTCACAAAAACCAACAGCTATTCAGCCTACAGCAGTTTTGCTGCCCTACAACCTTTGCTCCCACACCCCTGCACAACCCCGCCCTCCCCCAAATATATGGAGTATTTCAGCATGGAATGCTCCTTGAATGAGGCACAATACAGGACAGCCAATCAGAACAGAGCTCATTTGCATATATCAGTCTTAAAGGCACAGTAACAGTACCCTGTTTAATTGTAAAGTTTGGAAAGTGGTCATGTAATATACACATACACACACACACACTACACACACACACTACATATATATACAAATAAGGGTTTCTTTCGACAACAGCGATCAGGCGTAAGATTCTGACCACCTCCTTGTTTCTACGCTCATCATTTTATCAGCTCCACTTACTATATAGAAGCACTTTGTAGTTCTACATTTACAGACTGTAGTCCATCTGCTTCTCTTAGCTCCCTTTTACCCTGTTCTTCAGTAGTCAGGGCCCCCATGGACCCTCACAAAGCAGGTAATATTAGGGTGGTGGATCATTCTCAGCACTGCAGTAACACTGACGTGGTGGTGGTGTGTTAGTGTGTGTTGCGCCAGTCTGAGTGGATCAGACACAGCAGTGCTGCTAGAGACCTCAGTGTCACTGCTGGACTGAGAATAGTCCACCAACCAAAAATATCCAGCTAACAGTGTCCTGTGACCACTGATGAAGGACTAGAGGATGACCAACACAAACTGGGCAGCAGCAGACGAGCTATCGACTCTGACAAGGTAGGATTGTCTAATAGAGTGGACAGTGAGTGGACAGAGTGTTTAAAAACTCCAGCAGCACTGCTGTGTCTGATCCATATCCATATCGTATGTCAATCTATCTACTCTTGTATGCAAAAGTTTGGGCACCCCTGGTCAAATGATTGATTGTTGATTTTTTATGTGTGAATAAGTGAACACGTCCTCTACAGAGAAGAGCACATTTCAATACACAATTACTGTTTACCTGCTGAATTTAACACATTTAACATTTAACGCAAAACATAAAAAAGGCCTGTGCAAAAGTTATGGCACATTTTATATTTATTTGCTTGTTTTGTATTTATTTTAAATTCTGCATTAAAATCGGCAGAAAATTGCTGATGTAAGTTACTTCTCTGAGGATGTTTTAACTCATTTTCATGTCTGTTAACATTTCTGTCATCTGACCAGGGGTGTTCAAACCTTCGCACACGACTGACCCTATCTATCCATCTGTCTATTTTTTTAGCTCCTAAACCCTTCAGGACTCCAACACTTCAGTGTTTTTCTGCTCAGAAACGCTCATGATTCCATATGATTAATATTTAATGAGGTGAGTCCTGTGGGTTGGTCCAGGAAACATCTAAACATCCGTGCGGTGGTCCTGTGGGACGGAGAACGAGGAGAAGTGAGCGAAGATTGGCTTCACACAGCTGGACCAGAGCTGTAACAGACCAAACTTCATTAAGGTCCATTTAGCAGAGAGAGACGACATATCCCACACAGCGAATACACTGACGGCTGAATCAACAGCCTAATCTCTAATCTCACTCAGGTTTCCACCTTATTATGTCTGTCTATATTTTCCTTTAACTTGTCCTCTGCACTACTGTTTAACTGTTACTCTGTTCAATTTTGTCTAATTATTTTACTACTTATCTACCCATTTATTTTCAGTTAGAACGATATACTAAATCAAATGATAAGTTTAATTAGTTTTCACTGTTATTGACCTTATTTTAAATTGTGTTTTTCAGCTTGTCTGCTTTTGCCTCTTGCTTCTTGGTCAGTCAAGACATGTTTGGTGTCTAAAGTTTGCTTCTTTAGTTTCGGCACTGCATACATGAGGCTAATGAAAAAAAATGTAGGCTGTACAAAAGTTATGGCATATTTTATATTAAAACAAAAAGCCACAAGAGGCCATGCGTTACTGCAATTTTATCATGGGGAAGGGTGTTCTTAGGCATGATATGAAGCAGAGTAAAACTCCATTCATGTGATAAAATCACCGTAACACACAGCCTCGAGTGGCTTATTGATTTTTGGACAACATAAACTATGATAAAACGCACAATATTTCAGAAAATAATTTAAGTTTTTATTAATAATGATTGACATAAGCAAGTATTCTGCCAACAAATTAGAGTATGGTATCGCTGCCAAGCAACTACGCACCGCTGAATGAGGAAAACGTTCCGTCACCAATCGCTGTGTACTGCAGTCATTTCATGAATTTTAAAAAATTTTTCTTGTATAACAATGAATATATGATAACACAGCACTGTTAATTGCAAAAACCTTCACTTTTTAAGTACTTTTTGGTCACCAAATTACCACAGCGAGTCTTATTTAGCACCAGCAGCGCCCCTCTTCTCACACTGGGGATGAACCTCAAACAGCTTCCCACTCCCTACATAGTGCACTAGGTAGGAGTTTAAATACTAGCTCCTGCAGCCAACAGAGCAAAATATAGCTAAAAAATAGTCATTTGGGACTCATCCACACTTGATAAACGATGCACTATTTGGCTGTAGAGGCTAGAATGTTTACACTTTCATAGCTAGCACACTATTTAGGGAATACTGAGCCGTTTGGGATTCAGCCTGGGTTTGAGGCGAATTCTGACTGAAACACGGACATTTGAAGCAGTAAGTCATTCAAGTGACATTTTTAGACTTTTAAGCTGCCATTTTACAGTTAATCATCGTAAGTACCTTAATTCAAGCCTGTGATATTAATAATGGATCTCTTTATCATGTTAGCTATCTTTTAGCCTGTTAGCTAGCTGAGCAGCCTGGTTCTAGATAAGAACATAAGTTGCCAGCCTCTCAGTTTAAACAAAAACAGGTTCTTACTTCATCAGTACACTCAGTGCTCCATGCGAGCTGCATTAGAGTCAAAGGTTACTCCATTAACAGCACAAGGCTTTCAGAAGAATTCAGTTGCTGTGAGGAGGTGTGCATATATCGTGGATTTTACAATGGCTTCAAAAGCGGCTCAGCCAATCAGATATTACAATGAATGTTTTACTTTTTCCCCCAATATAATAAATTCATCAAATAAGCAGTAAAATGTGCTGTATGTTCTCTGTAGAGGATGTGTTCACTTATTTACACTTACAAAAATTTCATTTGACCAGCGCTGCACAAACTTTTGCATGCGGCTGTAAATAAGCCATAATGTAGGCTTATACCACACCAATTAGCATAGTGCTAACCGCAGCCCTAAATCATCACACACTCGTCTCAGACCGTGTGGAACTGCTCAGTATCTCTAACAGACTTGATTCTGTGGGACGCTGTCTGAATGTGACTGTACGGATGTTTTATGTATCATCATATGCTGTTATTTCTCCGTGATGGTTCTGTGGAGCTGGTGCTGGATCAGTGATGCTGATGTAGAGGACTCACCCGCAGGCTATCACACAGCCGGATGGTGCGTACGCGCATGCCATCACCCACGTACACGGCATAGTGACCGCATGCTCCTGTAAAACACACACAACAGCAGACCCCATGACTCTGCTCCATCGGCGTGTGATGATGTGCACATATGCAGTGCTTGTTTCTGTTTTTTGGCATTGATATGCAGTTATAATATACATAGCAGGTTCAAATATCATACAGTGGACACTAAAAGGTGTTTTTAGATGTTTGTTTTGTCTTTTTTGGGGGAAATCAAGAGGTTTTTAAGTGGTAAAGATAAACTGTAATGATCAATTTTCAACATTTTTTGTCAAGTTTTTTTATCAGCTTCAGTATTTAGCTTTTGAAGGATAAGAATTCTGTATGTAAATTTTCTTATTTATTACTAATTAACTGAATTCTGTTAAATTGTATGGGGGAAATTATTAATTTTAAATTATTTTTTTAAGTAACTGTACTTTATTAATCATTTTTACATCATTTTGTTTTTATGCTGCTGTAATGATTTTAATGGTTTAATAAATGATTTAATAAATAATAATAAATTAATTAATTAACATTATTAACATAATTAAAATTAATAAACATTAAATATATTTTTTTATATTTTTATGCTGTCATAATTATCTTCAGTAAAAATATAAGATGTGAAGTACCTTGATCTGTCACTGTCATGGAAGTGTGCAAATACAAGAATAAAATTAATATTAATATTAATATTAGTATGTACTTGTATGTTGATGTATGTTAACATGCAGGTTTTAACGTGTTGGTGTGTGCGTGTGTGTGTGTGTGTGTGTGTGTGTGTGTCTGTAAAGTGCAGCACTCAGGATCAGAGCAGCAGTTAAACCTCCATTAGAGAGCATTAGCACAGCATCATAAACGCAGGGTCAGTCCCCTCACTGGATAATAACCAACACTGCCCAATAGAACCTGCTACAAATACATACTGGATTATAGACCGAAACACTCAGTACAGATACACACTGGATTACAGGACGAGGGTCCTGAAGGCTCTGAAGTGTAGTTTCTGCATGATTTATACATCAATACTGTTCAGGTTTGGAATGATGGCAGATAAATATATAAAATGATCCAATTATGATCCTGTTAACAATACATCAAGAATGAAGTCCTAATAAAATTAATATCCAGAATGATCCATGTTTAAAAAGTGTTGATGAATCGTGACGCAGATAATTTAGCGAGGAATTACTGTAAAGTCATTACAGTACATTGTTCATCCTTTGATAACTTCATGGTGTTAGAAACTAAAACATTAAATAAAATATCTTAAAATAATTACATCCTTTTTGAACACTGTATACATTCTCACTATATAAAATAGAAATTACTACAATTTACACAGTTTCAAAATGGAGGGGTAAATGCAATGTACTATTATAATTTTTAATATCAAAAACATTTCATAATGTATTTTAAATTAAAATCTATATCCTAATATTAAAAACAGATTTACCTTGTTTCGTTGTGTAGGCATCCCAAACAATGACCTTGCCATCCTAGAAAAGAGAAAATTAAACAAAAAACGACAAAAGTGTGTTAATCTGTTTGTGATAATATGCAACAATAGCAAATAAGCTTTAAAACAATGCAAGCTGTTCTGCTCTAGGGTCAATTTTATCACATTATTTTTAACATATGAACATAAATCTTATGTAACTTTTATAGGTGAAGGAAAAAAATGGCTTAAAGAGGAATTCCACCCATTTTTCAAAATACCTGCACAATTCAATAGTTAAGATATAAACAGAGGCCTTCAGAGTGGTTTGGTGTGAAATGCTCTGTTCTAGAGAAACTTACTGAGTCAGAACTGTTCACAGTGGTGGTGATAGGAACCAGACGTCCACCTCTAAAATCTCCCTCACAGAGTAAGTTGTTACATGAAATGGTTATAAATACACTGTCTGAAACATTGTTTTGCAATGGTTTTGAGAAGATTTTGGCCTAAAACATAGTTTTAAAATCCATTCATTTACAGTGGAGGCATACACTGCAGGGTGTTGTGAGACAAAATAGTCCTCAAAGAAAACTATTCCACTATTTTACCATCTTCAACATTCCATATGAAACTCGAAGAAGACACATGTAGATCACCATTTCACATAGAACCACTCTGAATGACTTTGCTTATTCACCAACCACTAAATTATGCAGAAGCTTTGAAAAATGGGTGTAATTCCCCTTTATCATCTGTTAATGTAACTTAAAGTTTCAAGACATACCGCTCACCCCCTAGTATATACTTACATATTTATGTAAACTAAGCTCCAAAAACAGCCCATTCTAAATGTTTTGTGATGTCATACATCCACCTATTCAACCTACAGCAGTTTAGCCCCACCCACTGGTGGAAGAAATTTAAAATCCCATGGTAAGGACCCTGGACAGGGGTCACATAGACGTTATGTATCCAGAAGCATCGTGCTTACCTGAGAGGAGCTCACCATCCTCCTCTTGTCTCTGCACCAGTCCATACACAGCACTTTATTACCGTGACCCTTCAGCGTCCTGCGGGTTTTTATCACAAACTGACCCAGAGTCTCCACCTTCTCCGCCACCTGGTGCACTGAGAGAGAAACAGACTGCAGTCAGACGGAGGTGAACACGATAAAGACTGTGGATGTGGTGTGGAGTGTGCAGGGCTAGAGTGCATGACGTAGTGTGGAGTACGCACGGCTACAATGCATGATGTAGTGTAAAGTGTGCACAGCTAGAGCGCATGATGTGGTGTGGAGCATGCGTGGTTAGTGTGCATGATGTGGTGTGGAGCGTGCGTGGTGAGTGTGCATGACGTGGTGTGGAGCGTGCGTGGTGAGTGTGCATGACGTGGTGTGGAGTGTGCGTGGTGAGTGTGCATGACGTGGTGTGGAGCGTGCGTGGTGAGTGTGCATGACGTGGTGTGGAGCGTGCGTGGTGAGTGTGCATGATGTGGTGTGGAGCGTGCGTGGTGAGTGTGCATGATGTGGTGTGGAGCGTGCGTGGTGAGTGTGCATGATGTGGTGTGGAGTGTGCATAGTTAGTGTGCATGATGTAGTGTGGAGTGTGCATAGTTAGTGTGCATGATGTGGTGTGGAGTGTGCGTGGTTAGTGTGCATGATGTGGTGTGGAGTGAGCATGGCAAGTGTGCATGATGTGGTGTGGAGTGTGCGTGGTTAGTGTGCATGATGTGGTGTGAAGTGAGCATGGCAAGTGTGCATAGTGTGGTTTGGAACATACATGGTTAGTACACACCACACACTACAATACAGACATTCAGTAAAACAGTCTATGCATGTTGAGCGTGCAGTGCGGTCTGCAGGGTTTACGGTCTGTTGTCCAGTGTGTCCACTCATTGTGCACTGTTTGGTCAGTAAAGCTGTACTCACGCTCCACATCGTGCAGCTTGGCTCGCTCCTCCTCCAGTTTGGCCTTCAGGTTTTCTGACTCCGCGCGCAGTGTGGCCACCGTCTCACCCTTCGCCAGACCCTGGCACGCCATCTTCAGCGCGAGCGCGGCGGACGGACAGAGAGGGAGGCGGACAGACAGACAGGTGGAGAAACAGAGGGACGGATGTTATTATCCCGTAAAAATCAGCGCCGTGCCTGGAGCGCGAGCTGCTGCTCCTTCGCCCGCCTACTCTCTCGCGTCACCGAGATGGCGCGCCCTCATTGGCGGAGAGCAGCGGCGTATTTAAATCAATACGCAGCTCTTCGTCATGAACACAACAATAAAAGCCCCACTTTTTTCTCAGAGACGGTTAATTTTATTATTATTTGTTGAGATTTTAACAAAAAAACCCATAATGTAGCCATTAAACACACATTCTCTCATGCAGAAAGTGTAAAATTGATTATTGTTAGTTTTTGTTGTTGTTTTTCTTGTTTTTAGTTAATAGTTAATATTGTCTTTTCAAGTGAAAAAGCCTTTTCATTTTTGTAGTGTAAATGTTTATTAATAAATATAATTTTTGATTTTAATACTCCTAATTACTCATAAAAGGATCAGTACTTTTTAAAATTATTTTTGGTTGTGATTTTATTACTTAGCCCTTGAGTGATTACTAAAAACATTTTCCTTTTTGGAGACTTTGACTTTGCTACTACTAATAATAAAAATGATAATAATGATAATTATTATTATTATTACAAAACAACAACAACAACAAGAATACTATTGCTACTCCTACTATTACTACTACTACTAATAATAATCTTACTTACTTACTTAGTTTTTTTTTTTAATTCTGGGGTCTGAAACATCTACCTTCATGCATTTATGTTGATTTTATATGGAAATGTTTGATTTTTCTCTGGTTTTCTGTCCTCAGTCACTCTCTGGAGGCATGTTCATGTTGATAAGCTGAGGGGCTTTTGTAGATAAAGCTCCATTAGCACACTGTGTGTCTCTCTCGCTCTGATAGCTGTTGGTTTTGGCTGCCGCTCTGTGTGTTATCTGCTCTATGCTGACAGCAGGCCTAATGCAGGCCTCCACTTTACTGTCCTACATAAAGCCTCCACTTTGTAGCCTTGAACCAAACACGTTCCAACTAAACACGAATCTCAGCATTATCTTCATATCCTGCATTTCTCACTACACTCTGCAGAGAACCAGGCATAGTTAAAAGGCCCATATCTTCTTTTTCCTTATGTTTCATTTTTCTTCACTTTCCTCATGTTTGTGTAAGTTTACATATCAAAAATATCCATAATTCATTCAAACTTCTCTTTATGCCTTAAAATTAATCAGACTGTTTCAGTTATTATGGTTTTGACATTGAAATATGTAAATGAGCTTTGTCTTGATTGGCTGTGCCTCATTCAAAGAGCAGTCCAGACTGAAACACTCCTTATAACTTCAGCGTGAATGGGTGGGGCTAAACAGTTGTAGTCTGAATATGTGTATATGTATATTTTGTGACATCACAAATTCAAGACTGCTTTTTCTACAGCTTATTTTTATATATGAACTGGGAAGTGAACATTAAGTTTTAAATCTTTAACAATATATACATACTGCGTCAAAAAAAATCTATTTATGAAATCTTTCCATGATATGGGCCCTTTAATTACTTTTTGTGCTTCTGGTAGGAAGTACTTAAATAGCCTCAATGACCAGTCAGTTGTGAGTCCTTATGAAGGAGTTCAAAGATGCTATAAGCTACTTAAGCTGCTTCAGTTTTAGAACAGTAAAGTCGTACCAGCTCCACACACAGTGAGCAGTAGTTGACAGGGTTCATTCTGCAGGTAGATGTTCATCAGAGGCTTATTCTGGCTGCAGCTGTCGCAGGGGCCAAAGGTGATGGCCAAAAACGTCTGGTCACACATCTTGGCGAAGTTTTAAGGTCAGTCCTGAATGAACAAGGAGAAATAAACACAGATATCACAGGTGAGCAGTACAGCCTCCCCTTTAGCATTACAGGAATAGTTCAGTTAAAAATGCTAATGTTGCTCATAGCAAATGAAATAGAGCTGGGCTACTAGGGCTGAATCCCAAATGGCTCCCTACTTCCTATGTAGTGCACTATGCAGGTCAGGAAATACTGGATTCTACACTAATTATACACCCATAATATTTTGATATATATTATATAATATAGATAAAATAATCTTGAACAAACTATAAGATTGTCCTTAAAGGGGCACTCTGGCCAAAATGAAAAATCTGACCACTGCTATGTCAAATGTAAACATGCTTATTCACCTTCTACTGTGGTCCACAACAGCCTCTAGAGTGAGATTTTCTAGTTTAAAGACTGAGAAAATCCCCTTCTGGTGATGCATCTTGAAGGCAGGAGGAGTTTTTGAAAAAAAGCGCTTTGGGGCGGATACTAGATGAAGGGCTGACACAGAAGAAAGCCAGTAAGCTAATGCTACTGCTAAGAAGCTAAAATATCACATCTTTATTGCACACTGTATTTGTGCAATGCATGCTGGGTGTTGCAGTGAGAGAACACTGATGGACAAAAAACAAAAAGCATGGTTCTTTGAGGGTTCTTTAGCAGAGACAATGGTTCTATATAGAACCATAAACACTCAAAGAACCATCTTTCTTCCTAACGGGTTCTTTGCATGATGAAATAGTTTGAGATTAAGATTGATGGAGAATGTGTGGTATATGGTTCTATATACAACCAAAAAGGGTTCAGCAATTTTCACAAGCTTGACATTGTCACAATAGAAGAATCCTTTTTGGTGCTATAATCATTTTTAAAACATACAACACATTTTCCATCAATCTGAAGATCCATTTCACCATGCAAAGAACCATTTAAGCATGCAAAAAGTTGTTTGAGTGTTCATGTAGATGTATAGTTAAACAGCTTTCAGTAGAAAGTGCTTTTAGCTGTGAGGAATGTGCTGTGAATTATTGCAAAACAAGTATATAGGTTTTAGGCCACTTGATGGTGGTGAAATAAAACAAATATATGGAGCAGTACACATAGACATCAAGTAAAAATGGAAAAAAACAAAAAAATGCAGATATCTAAAACATTTTGAAAGCATATTACTTATTGTTTTTTATCCCCAAAATTATTAAATATAAAATACAAAATAGTATTTTGCATTTAAACTATGCAATACTGCTCAGATGTGCTAATAATGTTGTTTGCCTCATGCTAATGTAGCATTCTTTGGTACTTTGGTTAGCCAGGTTAGCATATTTAGCTGACACTTTCTTTAAAAAGGCGATGTTCAGCATGGCGCTAGGCCTAGCAGGGAACATGGTGGAGTGGATCTCTTTTTAATGGCTCTCACTAATAGCTAAGACCATAAATAGCAAACCAAGCCCAGACACGCTCCTTCAGCTCTGTGTGAGATTAAAGCTCAGAGCAGAGCCTCGTCCTGCTGATCCACAGCGCTGTGTCCTCCCTGTTCAGACGCAGCCAGCGATGCTAAACTAGCCACCGTGTTCAACAAAGCTAAACACAGTATCAGCAGCATCTAAAAGCCTGGATTTAGTCCATACTTTAGTCCATGTTTATAGATAACAGTATATTATACAGTGTAAAAGCAACATAATCCACATTCAAGTCTATTAGAGATTACTTAATAACCTCACACAGTTTGAGGGAAGTTTTTAAGGCAGACATTTTGCATCATGCTAATTGCTAAGGCATAGGCTTCCATTAATTGTTAGCTGTGCTATCATAAAGTTCTGATCACTGTTTTCAATCATATAAACCCATTTGTTGTAGGTACATCTATAAAATTATTCTATAAAGACACTACTATTGTACAGACTTCAAACTATTTGTAGGAAACTAGGAAACTGTATAAATTAAGAAATTATTGATGATGAACAGAGCAGTATTATTTATTTATTTATTGGTCATAGTGGAGGCAAAATAGTTGCCAAAGAAAACCCATTTTTTCCAGATTTCACAATCATCAACATGCCATATAAAACTGGATGGTAAACAAATTGTCTATATTTGTGTTGTAGTCATGGTGACCCCTGGTTCCTATCACCACCACTGTAAAGACATCTGAACCATTTCACACCAAACCACTCTGTTTACATCTCACACACTGAGTTATGCAGAAATTTTGCAAAATGGGTGGAATTCACCTTTAAGCCTGCAATAATGGAAACCAATGGACCACCCCCTTGTCCACTGGTTTCCATTATTGCAGGCTTAAAGGTGAATTCCACCCAAAATTTCTGCATAACTCAGTGTGTGAGATGTACTGATTATTGATTCTTCTGCTGTAGGGTTCTCATTAGCTCTCATAGCTCCAGTTGTGTGTGTGGTGTGTAGCTGAGCGTATGTGTGTGTGCGTTGAGGATAAGTGGTGCAGTAATCTGTGAGCCTGATCCTGTCTGGTTGCTGAAGGCTGCAGTGTCCTGCTGTAAATGACTCTCCGGCCTACCGGACACAGCCGTTCAGAATGACCATACTATCAAAAATAGGTGATCACTGATCAAATAATTGATGGATTGGTTGAGTAGCTTGTAGAAAATTTTGGTTGGTCCAAAATATAAAGAAAATGATCACTCTGCACACACCAGCTAAAGACGCAAACGTGTCAAATGTGTTTTGTTTTTTTTAATATAAAATGCTAACCATGACATTACATCAGCGCCCTTGGTCAAATTCCATGTTCTGTTTTATTTTCAGCGCAAATACATGAACACATACTCTACAGAGACACACCTCTGCACGTTTTAATACACAATTACTGTTTATTTGCTGAATTTGGGGAAAAATAAAACATAAAACATTGCACATTTTATATTTATGTTTTTTTTTTCTAATTTGTTAAACTTTTTGATCAGGGATGCACAAACTTTTGCACATAACTGCAATGTATTAGATGATGTATTTATTACAGGATTTATTACTTGCAATTTATTTTACTTGCATGCATTTATTTCTTTTATTATTTATTCATTCACTGTTGCCTAAAGATTCTATCCCTTTAGTTCATTACTGTTGTTGTTTTTATTCAACTTTTGCAAAGAAAATGAATGAAATACTAGTTCATTTTCATCCATGCATGAAAAGTTAACACAGCTGGGGTCACCTGAGGCCCCAAGATGTTTAGAACTGTATGTCTAGTACTCATTTTTTAAACATTGGTATAAAATATGAAGAAATATAAACTCTATGCATATTCAGTGATTGAGAAA